CTTATTGACAATCAATCTGTATCAATTGCTAGCAATCACTTGTTGGCAATTGATCCATATCAATCCCTTGTGATGGTTTGATATAATCTCTAAGCTCTAGAAATATGTAAGCTCACCAAATATATGCTAGAAAGACTGATGCAGGACGATTAGAGACAGCAGCAAATCTGGGCTTTTGGGGCTGATTTTAATTGGATTTTATGGCTGAAATGACAATAAAAGTATAGGGGACAAATAGGGTTTGTTTAGGGTAATAAATGAGCAAGAGTTTAAGCATGAAAATATGTGATTTTGGCACTGTTTAGGGGCTGTGAACAGTATCCGTGAACAGTGTTTGGGCTGTTAAAAAGTGCAGAAAATACAAGAGGAAAAGAAGAAGGAGAAGGAGAAGAAGGAGAAGATAGGTTTAGGAATCACTCCTAGAATCCCTTAGGCATCACACCTAGGGTTGAATTACATCACACAATCCATAAGAAGCTTCAAAAGCTGTGAAAATTCTTTAAAGTTTCAACTCTATTGAATTAGAAGCATTAAATGACTTTATATAGACTTTATTTAGAGACTTCCTAAACTAATTAGAACAAAAAAACAAAACTATTACAATATCTTCGACTTCCAAAACCAATTTAAGACCAAATAGGAAACATAAATAAAACTCAATTAAATAAGTTAACCCACAAGATTGTTAAGCATATTTGTATTTTGATATTATTATTTATTATTAAGGGTAGTTTAGTCTTTCATAGTTTTTAAGGTTTGTTAGACTTAGATATATATATATATATATCTCCTTTGTAATCCTTGTTTCTATGCTTAATAAGACTATTGCTATTTTCTTCTAACCTTGTTTATCATGGTATCAGAGCTGGAGTACTCAGGGATGGGTAGGGTGTGTGTCCCTGGCCTGCACACCGCAGGTGCTGCCGAGTGAGCATGCTGGGCATGAGACACTTAGCTAGTGTGAAGCGAAGTTCCACATCGCCTGAATACTAAAGTAATATTAAGCATATAAGCGTGAGGGCACCCTCACCTTAACAACTAGCTTTTTGGGGTGGGTTCTACCCAAGACCGTGTAACCCATAGGTGACTCCTACAACCCATGTTAGTAAATTTGAAAATTACCAAAATATCCTTGATCTAAAATCTTAAAAAATATAAACTAATCATAAAATAAGACTAATAATACTAGAAACATGACTATGAATAGTGTGAGAATATATTGTATATATTCTACATTAGGCATACTTTCGATTGTATATATTAGGCTTGATTTAGGCATGATTGTAATTACGTTATATTAGGTATGATTGTGATTATGTAGTCATTGTATTTCTTTTTTAGTTTTAGGAGTTAGGGTTATTTATACTAAGACTTTGATGTAACTATTTCACAATTCGAATACACAGAAATATTCAGAAAACTTACATGGTATTAGAGCCACCACCAGAACCCTATAAATCTTTTTCTTCAGTCTCTGATTCATCTCGCTAGGCTCTAGGTCATGGGTTTTCTCTGTCAATCGAATTTAGTTCTTGAGTTGTTGCTGGGTGTCCTTGAAATTGCAAGTTGCAGGTCGTAGGGCACCAGAAATCATGACATCCACACCTATTCGTGTTCGCGAAGCTGTCTATCTCTCTGGTCTAGAATTGCGACATCCATTGCTTCGTGGTTGTGTTCGCAAATCTCTCTTTCTAGTCTCCGTTTGTTGTCGCCATCTCCCATTGAGTTGTCTTTGAGTCATCTGGTTGCTTTGTTTCTCTCGTTTGACCCATCTAGGTCGTTTGCTTGATCCAACTGGTGCCTTTGTTTGGTTCGTGATCTTTGATCCTCTGGTTCATGACTTGATTCTTCTCTCTCTCCCTCTGCTTTGATTGAACTACTACTAAGGTAATTACCCAAAAAACTACTACTGAGGTTCAACAGTTGGACCACTGAGTCTTAATCTCACTGTTTTGGTTTATTACACTTTAACCCACCCACTGTTTTGGTTTATTACACTTCAACCCATTCTTTTAATCCATTTTTAGTTTGTTATAACGTCAGAGGATAAAATTCAGGCCATCAAATACTGGTGCCAACTATGCCTATTAGTCTAGTGTTATGAAGAATTTTCTTCTTGGTCGAAAAAAATAGGGATATGATTCTAGTTCTGTTTCTTGTCCACTAGACTCAAAAAAAGATGGATATCTGGCTGCTTGTGACACTTAAGATTGTGACGATGCCCAAGTTTTGACCTGGTTTCACAACTTGGTGGAAAACCTACAACACTGCTAAGGAGATATGAGATTATTTACTGGATGTGTATCAGCTGTCCAATTTTTCCAAATGGTATGAATTGGAATCCGCTATTTAGGGTACTCGTCAGCGGGATTGGTCTATTAAGGATTTCTACATTGAGATAAAAGGTCTCTGGAATCAGTTGGTCCTCATGACCATCTAGCTTCGAGGTGCTTGATGATTATTTACAATTCCGGGAGGGAAGTCGTTTGGTGCAGTTCTTAACGACTTTTTCTCTTTAGTAAAAGGCTATTTGGAATGACATTCTTCACTGTTCTCCTCTCCCTTCTGTGGATACTATAGTTCGTGAGCTTCTTTATGAGGAAATCTGTCTCAAGACGACCAGTCAAGCTCTATCTCCATCTGTCTTCTTGGCTCTTACTCAGTCTCCACTGTTATCAATCCCCTCACTTCATCAACTCTAGGCTTTTGCTAAGCCGAAAAATGGTCCTTGGTCTCAGATAAGTGTGCTTTTTGCCATCAGAGGGGCCATTGGAAGTACAATTGTTCCAAGAAGGGACGTCCGCCTACTTTTACTTGGCAGTCTCAGTTTAGAGCTCCTCCTCTGAGTACTTTTCATCCCAAGAAAGAACTGAGACTATTGACTAGAAGCAAGTAGACGTCCTTTCTTAGGACAATTGTACTTCCAATGGCCTTTCTAATGATAGAAACCACACTTACCCGAGGCCATGGGCCCTTTCTTGGGCTTAGGAGAAGTTGGAGGTGATGAGGGGAGGGGGTTGATAATAGTGGAGACTATGTAGGAGCTAAGAAGATAGATGGAGATAGAGCCTAACTGGTCGTCTTAAGACGGGTTTCCTTAGAGAGAAGCTCACGGACTATAGCATCCACAGAAGGAAAAGGAGAACGGTGAAGAATGCCACCTCAGATAACCTCATACTGAGGATAAAGAACTGTTAAGAATTGCACCAAACAACCTTCCTCCCGGAATTGTAAATAATCATCAAGTACCTTGAGTGTAGATGGTTCCATGAGGGCCAATAGATCCCAGAGGCGTTTCATCTCAATGTAGAAATCCTGAATAGACCGATCCTGCTGACAAAAGCCCTGAATAGTGGATTTCAATTCATACCGTTTGGCAAAATTGGACAGTTAATACACGCCTAGTAAATAATCCAATACCTCATTGGCAGTGTTGTATTCGGAAAACAGCAGCCTAATACGGTTTTCCATCAAGTTGTGAAACTAGGTCAAAACTTGGGTATCGTCACAATCCTAAATGTCACAAGCAGCCAGGTATCTATCTTTTTTCGAGTCCGATGGATGAGAAACAGAACTAGAATCATATCCCTATTTTTTTCGACGAAGAAGAAAATTCTTCATAATACTAGACCAATAGGCATTGTTGGCACTGGTAAGTTTGCATTTGATGGCCTGATTTTTATCCTCTGACATTGTAATAAACCAAAAGTGAAGTGTAATAAACCAAAACAGTGGGATTAAGACTTAGTGGTCCAACTGTTGAACCTTAGTAGTAGTTCGATCAAAGTAGAGGGAGGGAGAGAAGACTCATGTCGTGAACCAGAGGATTAGAGATAACGAACTAGACAAAGGCACCAGATGGATTGAATGAGAGAGATGAAGCAACTAGATGAGTTAGAGATGACTTGATGGGAGATGGCAACGACGAACAAAGACCAGAAGGAGAGATTTGTGAACACCACCATGAAGCAATAGGTGTTGCGATTTTGGACCAGAGAGACAGAGAGCTTTGCGAACACGAATGGGTGTGGATGTCACAATTTCTAGTGCCCTACGACTTGCGATTTGAAGGACACCCAGCAACAACTAAAGAAGAAGATTTGATCGATGGAGAAGACCAATAACCCAGAGACTGAAGAGGAAGATTTTTTGGGTTTTGGTGGTGGCTCTATTACCATGCAAGTTCTTGTTTTTTTTTTTTTTTTTTTTTGGAAATCATGCCAATTTCCAAATATTGCCACTTCTTTGAATTTACTCTTCCTTGAGCTCCTTATATTCTACATCAATGACCTTCAGAGGCAAACATATGATAATCTAATGTAAAAATATCTGAAGAACACGTGTCCTAAGAAAATAATCTACATGCGTGGGTGACAAAGCAATGCTTTCAACTGCTGATTCAATTCTTTAACTTGAACACTCGCCGCACTCATTCTAATGTACCAGTCCCTGTTACAATACATTTACAAGATCAAGTTTTGTCATACAGAAATTGCCAACACTATCTATGTAGGTACTGTTTCAGATGCTAACTAACATTTGGTTAGCTTGCTCAAGAACCATTCTTGTTTAATGGGCCAGCCCAGTGGATGCACGATTCAGACAATAATGTTAAGCAAAAAAATTCGTCTCAAATGAGGAAACATTATAAACTTCCAGTAGTTTATTTTTATTTTTATTTTTTTATTTTTATGGGCTTTTTATCTCTCATCAGTTTTATTGCCTGTGTGGAAATGATTGACTTACTCAGGATTTAGGTTGTATCAAATGACTTTGCTAACAGTTGTTGGTGCTCATACTCAAGTATTCAAAAACTATGATGACGATTGTTTAGTTTATAGCCTTTGTCTTTTTTAATCAATACATGCTTTTCATCTCCTTATTTATTGTTGAGGTTGTAGCCTCCTATTTTGCTATGCGTCAACAAAGCTGCTTTAATAACTACAGTTGGGGCTCTCTAGTTATTGGCTTTGACATTGTCATGTGTTCATCTCTGGCAGTGAGTGTTAAATGGCAAAAAGAAACATTTCCATCTGTGGAAATTGACACTAGTCAGCCCCCATATGTTTTCAAATGTCAGTTGTACGATCTAACAGGAGTACCTCCTGAGAGGCAGAAGATTATGGTTAAAGGTGGTTTATTGAAGGTAATTAAATAATTCTTATGATTTGATTACTTGCTGAGCTGATTCTGATTGATGAGATAATAAGTGAATCACTCTGTATATGTTGATTGAGATTTCCTGTGACATGTTTTTCTAAAGGCGGCTATTAACCTGCTTGACATATTCTCCTGACAATGTAGGATGATGCTGCTTGGTCAACGTTAGGAGTGAAAGAGGTGGATAATATTTTGAATTTGTATGATGCTGTATTGTACTCTTGGAATTGATTGTTAAGTATACTGTGATGTCTGTTTCATCCAGGGTCAAAAGTTGATGATGATGGGAACAGCAGATGAGATTGTGAAGGCCCCAGAAAAGGGCCCTGTTTTCATGGAAGACCTTCCAGAAGAAGAACAAGCTGTCGCTGTGGTAAGGTTCTTGACTTCCTGTAGTCCTGTAGATATTAATACAAATTTAGTTTTTCCTTGTTTCGTTTGGTTTCTGTTGTAGCTTGGGTCTGTTACAACAGTGCTACATTTATGTAACTGGGTTTAGATGGGCCATTTGGGGATATTTATCCAAAAAAAAAAAAAAAAGATGGGTCATTTGGGGAACTTCAGACATTTTGCATTGCTTTATTAACTTTTTATTGTAGACACTTAAGTTCACGAACGTAGTACTGCAATGAAAGTACATCTACTTATTTGATCATGGTAATTTGTCATCCTGGCCTGCCCTTATTGGGATGAGGTTGGGGGCATATAAAATTTGTGCGAAGCTTGGGGTTGATTCAAGCTGCAATTGATTTGATCCTAACTTGGTGCTGCAACTTTATCTCAAACTTGGTCAGTTTCCATCGTTCATTACGCCTTTTTTGTGTGTGTTTATTCTGTATGACATAAAGTCATAATTACTCTTCCTACTATAACTTAGTTGTTTAGTTTATCCACTTACTGGTTAATTAAAAATTAACAAATTTGTTTTGTTTTATTTTATAAAGTTAATGACAAATTTTCCTCTTTACTTAATCAAGTTGTTTGTAGTTCCCTTCACTACTTCCATGATTTCTTTATTTGCACTTGGCATTAGTATCTTACCTTTGGATTGCACATCATAGAATCAAGTTTGCTATGTTTACATCTTTTCTTTTTGCTTGGTTTGCCTCTGAAATGTAGTTAATTCTGTGAATTTGGATGGGAGAGCTTTACAATTTTTTGCATTTAATCGTACTTTTGTATTCCTTTGTTCTGAACCTTTAATGAATATCACATTTGCGTCCAGGGCCATACTGCTGGCTTATTTAATCTTGGAAATACCTGTTACATGAACTCTACCGTACAATGCTTGCATTCTGTTCCAGAGTTGAAATCAGCTTTGATCCAGTGAGTTTTATTCTGTGGACAAGGACATCTAGTGTTCGGGAAATGATTCCAAATTTTTCTTCATATCTGTGATGTGCTTTGTAATTTTCATATGACTGATATTTTGCCATTGGTTTGTTCTCTTCTGATTAGGTATCCACATCCTGGAAGAAATAATGATATGGACCAGTCTTCTCATCTCTTGACTGTCGCAACAAGAGAATTGTTTGAAGAGCTTGATAAAAATGTCAAGCCAGTGGCGCCAATGCAATTTTGGATGGTATACATCCTTTTGTTTAGTTGTTGTATCCATTTGTTTATTTTTATTTATTTTTACTTTAATTTGTACATCACCTTTACAAGTCCAATTTTTTTTTTCAAAACTACTGTACATCCAGTGCTTGGTGTTAGGAAGATAGATGAATGCACATCTATGTTACTCATAAATTTAAATCTTAGGATCTTGGGATATGTATCCAAAATTGGATATGGGTGTGGGGATGCATCATATACACATATATATTACATATTATATAATATTCTCAGATGAAATGTTGTAATATAGAACTATACTTGAAATCGAATAAGATTCAGGAAAAATATGAAATTTCTATATCTTATGCATGTGAGAGGCTAAAAATATTTATTCACTAGCAAATGTGAGTTTCTTCTTCTCATATATTGTAACAAATTAAAAGATCCGAGTGTCTAAATTGGGTACGAGTGTTGGACACATCCCACACCCTTACCCATGTCATATCTGGTGGACATGGGTATTGTGGGGGAAATAGAAGAGCCCACGTAGCACAGATGTACAATGAACTGCATATATGCGGGGACATTGTTGCACAAGGCTATGTTTGGTGCTGTAAGAATGTCAAGTTGGGATCTTGCTGGAGTACTATAACTCATATGATTAGAGTTCAAGAAAATTGAATTTTTTGCCATCTATGAATTCTTCTCCTCTGCAAGATTGGGGAAATGACTTTCTTTTTTGGGATGTCATGCCAGACAATGAACTAGCAGTAACTCGTTTAGGTAGTGACATGCATTATTTCAATAGCAAATAGTCAAGGCAGTTGCTGATTCAATTTTTTGACTTTTGTGTTTCTGAAATTTATTTCCTCTCTAAATTAATGGTCCTTGTTTGCATAAGTTTTACCATTGTTGAATCTTACAGCTGCTTTGTTATTGAAAATTTGATTGGAGCCAAGGTTCTGTGGAAAATATCTTTGACAATGTCCTCTATAGATGATTGGTGGCCTTATCGATGTTTGTTTGAGAGAAAAACAAACTTAGCGTAGTGATCAAGATATAACCCCCATTATATTAGAAAATAGGTAACTTACAATGGAAGCCTTTAGGCAAGAAAGGAAATACAACTAAGCTACAACTAATAATAGTAAATAAGGAAATAGAATAATGCTGACACTCCCCCTCAAGTTGGTGCAAAAATATCTTTCATTCCCAGTTTGCCAAGAACATCATCGACTGATTTACTTCTGACTTCCTTGGTGAGAATATTTGCCAGTTGTTCTCCAGACTTGACAAAAGGAGTACAAATTATGCCACTAGTGAGTCTCTCTTTGACGAAGTGATGATCAATCTCAGCGTGCTTTGTTCGGTCATCTTGAACTGGATTGTGAGTTATGTTGATAGTAGCCTTATTATCACAATATAGTCTTATGGAGTGGGTTTGATCAATTCCCAAATTACTCAACAGCAACCTGATCCACAAGAATTTACACGCACCTTGTGCCATAACTCTAAACTTTGCCTCTGCACTAGACCTGCTACCACATTCTGTTTCTTGCTCCGCCAAGTAACCAAATTGCCTCCAACAAAGGTATAGTATTCTGATGTGGACCTTCTATTAGTTACTGATCCTGCCCAATCAACATCTGTATGAACTTTCACCCTAAGATGATCATGCTTGGAAAAGTATAGGCCCTTTTCAGGCGAAGATTTTAAGTACTTAAGGATGCGCATAATAGTATCTAAGTGTGCCTCACGAGGAGTATGCATGAATTGGCTAACTATGCTGACAACAGCAGCAATGTCGGGACAAGAATAAGATAGATAAATGAGCTTACCCACAAGTCTCTGATATCTCCCCCTATCAACAACAACTCCCCACTATCATCGCCAAGTTTCTAACTTGGTTCTAATGGTGTGTCACAGGCTTTGCTTCCAAATATCCCAATTTCCTTCAATAGGTCAAGAACATATTGCCTTTGACAGATAAAAATCCTATCCTTGGATCGGGCAATCTCAATACCCAGAAAATACTTCAGGGTCCCAAGTCTTTTATTTCAAACTCACTTGCCAAATACTTCTTCAATTGAGTCATCTCCTCAGCATCATTTCCTGTAAGCGCTATGTCATCCACATATACAATGAAAGCTATAGTCTTACCATGTGAAGAGTGTTTAACAAACAAAGTGTGATTAGCTTGACTCTGTTTGAAGTCATATTTAAGCATTGCCTATGTAAATATCTCAAACCAAGCTCTTGAGGACTGTTTGAGGCCATATAGTGATTTTCAGAGCCTACACACCTTACTCTCTGTCTGCAGATCTTCAAAGCTAGGAGGAATGTCCATGTACACCTCCTCTTCTACATCACCATGTAAGAAACATTCATCGCATCAAACTGGTGAAGAGGCCAATCAAAATTAGTTGCAAGAGAGAGAAGTATCCGAACTGAATTCATTTTTGCAACTGGAGCAAACGTACCTTGATGGAAACTACATATGTTTGAGTAAAGCCCTTTGCCATAAGACGAGCTTTATAATGCTCAATTGAACCATCTGTTTTGTACTTCACAGTATATACCCACTTGTATCCCACAGTTCGTTTGCTCTTAGGTAACTCTGTCAATTCTCAAGTGCCATTCTTATGAAATGCTTTAATTTCTTCAATCATGGCATGTTTCCATTTAGGAATAGCAAGAGCATCTTGAAAATGATCAGGTAACAGAGGAAATCTTTGACACAAAGGCTCTATACGAGGGAGACAAGGTAGAACATGATATAAATTTAGAGATTGGATGTTGAATATAAGACCAAACTCCCTTCCTGTGGGCAATAAGAATATCAAGATATGTGTATTCAAAGGTATCAAAGTTACTTGGACTCTCATTAGGACTCTCATCAGTTGAAGGAGATGGCAATGGAAGATCAGGAGAAGTGGTCTCTTGGATCCAAGTAACCTTTTGTCTTACTTTGTCCTTGACATAAACTTTTCCTTGCTCCTTGAGTGTATCAGCTTCTATATTCTCAATAGCTAGTTCACATTGTGGTTCACATGCTATATCCTCAACAACTAGTAAGCATTCAAGAACAGGTAATACCCTTATGTCAGGAATCTCTTCACACCAAGGCTCTCCCTAAAGGGATGACTGGAAAACCAGAGAGGACAAGAAGTAGGACTGTAACTTAAAGAATGTGACATCTATGGACACAAACCACTTACGAGAAGGCGGATGATACCACTTGTTCCTCTTTTGAGTAGGTGAATATCCAAGAAAGACACATTTAAGAGAACATGGATCCAACTTATCACGAGAAGGGGAATGATTGTAAACAAAATAGACACTCAAAAACTTTGAGGGGAATAGAAGACATAGACTGAGAGCCTAAGAATACTTGAAGAGGGGTTTGCTTGTGTAGCACTTGAGTAGGACGGTGATTGACACGATATGCAGTAGTGAGAACATTTACACCCCAGTAAGACCGAGGCATATGCATAGAAAAAGTCATGTAGTGAGCAATATCAAGAAGATGACGATTCTTTTGTTCTGTAACCCCATTTTGCTGAGAAGTGTTGGTGCAAGATGTCTAATGAATAATGCCATGAGTGCTGAAATAGTTCCCAACCCCGAATCAATATACTCACTCCCATTATCAGAACACAGAATTTTGACAACAACCCAAATTGAGTGCGAATCATTTGATGAAAGGTTTGAAACATAAAAAAAAACCTCACTATTTTCTTTTAGTAAATACACCAAAGTAGTGCGAGAAAAATCATCAATGAAGGTGACAAACCATCTATGGCCCTTTAATGAAACAACACAAGAAGGATCCCAAACATCAAAATGAATCAATGAAAAATGAACTAAACTTTTATTAATACTTGGAGCAAAAGAAGCTCGGTGTTGTTTGTCAAGTTGACACGAATCACAATTAAACTCAAACATTATCGTGCGTAAAAGAAGAAGGAAATAAATGCTTAAGTAATATAAAAGATAGATGTCCTAGACATTGGTGCCAAAGCCAAATGTCTTCCTTGGTGGTTGGAGGCTGGATGGTATGATGTGCCAAGTGATCTGCCTGATCCAAGATGTAGAGACCATTCTCTGCTCTACCATTGCCAATCGTCCCCGTGATAAGGTTTTGAAAAATACAATGATCAGGGAAAAAGGTTACACTACTATTCAAGTCCTGAGTAAGACGACTTAATGATAAAAGATTGACAGAGAAACTGGAAACATGTAAAACCGAAGACAAAGGTAAAGAAGATGTGGCATGGATTAAACCTTTTTCAGAAATAGAAGAAATGGTACCATTAGCAATCCTAACTTTGTCCTGATTTGAAGAAGGCTTATATTCCGAGAAAAGATCAGAAGACAGTCATATGATCCGAGGTACCAGAATCAATGATCTAAGGTAAAGCTTTATGAGATAGGAAATCACTTGTAGAAGAGGCTAAGTTACCTAAAAGAGCAAACGAAGAGGAAGATGCTCCTGTAGGAGTAGAGGAAATTTGGCTGTCCAGCAAGTGATGTAGAGCATCCTCAAACTCAAAAGCAGACATACCAGACACATCATTAGTAGACTGAACTGCTGGAGCATAGTCATTTGTATCAACTGCACTAGAATGATGGGCACGCGAGTTAAACCTACGTCCTCTAGACTGTCTTGATCGACCCCCTCAACTACCAAAGCGGTCACCACGGCCCCCATATGGAGTACCATGGAGCTTCTAACATTTCTCATGAGTGTGTTTAGGCCGACAATAGTAGTCACAAAACAAAGTATCTTTCTCAGAAGGAGTGCAGGTGCCACGGGATAGACGGTCTCCATCTCGAGGAGCAGAGACTAAGGATGAACACTCTATGGAGGCAGGAGGAAGCATAGCTGATTGGCGACTTTCCTCATTCTGAATATAGGCAAATGCTTCCTAAACAGAAGAAAGAACATCCATGCCAAGAACACGACTGCGAACAGGATCAAACTTCACATTGAGACCCTCCAGAAATTTGAAGACTTTCTCTTACTCAATAAATTTGCAATAACTCGCAGAATCAATTAGGCAAACTGGCTTATAATCCTGAAGATGATTGAGTCGCTTCAGCTATTGCTAAGGAAAGTGAAGACTAAAGAACAGCCATCTCACCCTGTACTGAACATTCAATGGAGTGACGCAACTCAAATGTCTGCGAGAAATACCCTTTCCGGGAATAAGTAGTTGCCGTGGTTCAAATGTCCTAAGCAGTATCTATGTACAAGTATCCTTCACCAATATCAGGAACCATAGAGTGTATGAGTCATCCCATAATCAAAGAATTCGTTATCTCCCACTGATCATAGCTAGAATCTGTGGTACTAGGTGCTTTGATTCTTCCATCAACATAACCCATCTTCCCCCTTACTCTTCAGAAAAAGTGTCAGACACTGTGACCAAGCAAGATAATTCTGACCATTAAACAAAGAGGTCGTGATTTTAAGGCTAGGATTGGGGTTCTTGGATGTAGTGGCTGTAATAGGACTCTACCTTCGAGGTGGTTGGGAATTAATGGTAGATTCGCTAGTATTTTCAGCCATCTCAGTGCACTACTATCTGAGCAACCTGCAACAATCACTACTACTGGAAGAGGGAAAAACAAATGGAGTCAAAGTACAGATAATCAACCACAAACCATGGAGGGGCAATACATTTAGTCAAAGTTGAGTAATGGGCCATAAAGTGACACAAAAAATGACAAAAGTATAGTAGGATTAAAAACTTCAATCAAAACAACAGTCTAAGAGTCTCAATCAAAAGAAAAAACTATAATAGGGGAGAGAATGAAGACTAGAGGGTTCAATCAGGGCATGGGCTATGCACTTATCTGGTTAAGAGAGAGTCACACACAGACCAGGTGTTGATGAATGGTGGTGTCGCTAGTCCACTGAGAGAAGTCAAAGGTTCAGACAAACCCAAAGGACACGATGCAAATTAGAGGAGGTCTGAGAGGTGTCGTAACCCCTAGGTGAGCATGGAGAGATGCCAAAACACAGAGGAAAGCTATCGGAAGTGATTGGGTGGTCCTCCGACAGGGATGGGTAGGGCCCGACAGTTGTTGAATGATGGTGGGATGTACACGTCGGGTGAAGAATTCAAACTTTACGGCTCTGATACCATGTTTGTTTGAGAGAAAAACAAACTTAGGGTTGTGATTAGGATATCACCCCCTTTATATTAGAAAATAGGTAACTTACAATGGAAGCCTTTAGGTGAGAAAGGAAATATAGAAAAGCTACAACTAATAATAGTAAATAAGGAAATAGAATAATGGTAACAATTGACATTGATGTTCTTATTGATAGGTGAGGCAAAAGAAATAGCTCAATGATTTGGTTCATTTCTGTTTACAGGTTTTGCGGAAAAAGTACCCTCAATTTGGTCAGTTGCATAATGGATCCTTCATGCAACAGGTTTTCTTTTGTATTTTTCTTTGAGTTTTGTCACCATGTCATATCATTTTACGGCTTTAAATTTGCTTTGATGTTGATATGTAATTTTAAATATATGACAGGATGCTGAAGAATGTTGGACACAACTTTTGTACACCCTTTCTCAATCTCTTAGATCACCAGTTTCCAGGTAGATAATTTCTTTGTTGGCACCAGGAAAATTCTTTGCCTTACAGGTGTTAAATATAGTTGTTTTTAGTATAAACTGAATCCTTAAGTAATAGTCTACAATACTTGGGTACCTTGCAGAATAGGTGCACCAATTTGGTAATCATCAATATTTGAGTTTATCTCTTACACCCATTTCCACAGCGCATTTTTTTTTTGTTGGCAGATGGTTATCCATTTTTTTGTCCTCTCTCTCTGTCTCTCTGTCTCTCTCTCTCTCACACACACACACACACACACACACTGACGTAGTGTTGTAGTGGAAGGAATGACTAGATATCGTTCTAGTAAACGAAGGGGAAGATATCGTTCTTCAGACGGTAACAACTCAAATCCATGAGCAAAGATAAACAACTTGCGCACAAGGAAAATAGAGAAAACTCTGACTATATTGATTAAAACTTGGTTTTGGTTTGCCACAAGGCTTACAAACATATTTATACTAGGTAATAGAGACCCAACCTTTGACCTTCCCAACACAGAAATAAATATTAGAAACTCTCCCTTAGACTCTCGTGTCAAATACAAAGAATTTAAATAAATACTAGAAACCTGCCTTAGAGCATCTCCAATGGTGTGCCATTGGAGCTGCTATTGCCAAATTATGGCAGCAGGTGATAGAAAAGCAGCTCTAATGGCAAGTTTTAGCAGCTGCTATCTTTGGCAAATGCCAAAACTTATGTCAAATATGGCACAAGCTGCCAAGTCACCAAAACCAACCATTTCCTCCCTCCCTCCCTCCATTTCTCATCCTTCCCAATAAAACAGAGATTGGGTGAAACTGCCTTTTTTCTTGAATTTTTTGTAAAACCAGATTCACCATTTTTTTTTTTTTTTTTCTAAAACAGAAATTGTTTATATCATATTAAAAAAAAAAAATGGAAATTGTGTGAAACAGTCAAACCCTTCAAAAAAAAATTAAAACATTTTACAAAAAATAAAATAAAATGAACATAATCAGACAACAACAACAACAATCAACAAATTTCAACAAGTAATTTCAAGCAAATTTATAGAGCAATCAAGCAATTTCAACCCCATCAAGCAATTTAGACTCTTGTGTCAAATACAAAGAACCTAACCTTTAGACTAGTGTGTTAATACAAATGACTAAACTTGAAAATTTGAAGGACACTCTAATTAATTACTTCTTTGACTTCTTAATTACTTCTTCTTTGACTTGTGATGGTCCTACTTCTCGAGAAACTCTTTAGCAACCTGTTCTGCATCAGTTCTAAATAAAATACTAATTCTAAAATATTAATACTAAAAATATAAAAATTCCTAAAATCTTGTTCTACATCACGCGCGCGCGCACACACACACACACACACTCAAATTTCTTGTTTTTGCCGAATGTTAATGGTATTAGATGACATAATTTGTGCTTTCCTTTCTTTTTTTTTTTTTGGTTGTTGAAAACCGTGTTCATCCCTTTCAGTTCATGAGATTTGTTATCCTGTTGTTCTGTAGCCGTGCACCTCGAGAAACTCTTTAGCAACCTGGTCAGCATCAGTTTTAAATAAAATACTAATTCTAAATAGTAATACTAAAAATATAAAAATTCCTAAAATCTTGTCCTACATCACACACACACACACACACACACACACACAAATTTCTTGTTCTTGCTAAATGTTAATGGCATTAGATGACATAATTTCTGCTTTCCTTTTTTTTTTTGGGTTGAAAACCTTGTTCATCCTTTTCAATTCATGAGATTTGTTATCCTGTTGTTCTATCGCCGTGCACCTCAAAATTTTGTCCCTTCTTTTTATCCAAGTAGTTGTGTTTGTTAAGAATACCTGTGGTTACACTGCATTGTGTAATTAGTTCCTTTGCACACGCACATGCACACACAAATGTATTTTGGCATGTCAAGTTCACACACTGCTCCATTTTTTGGATTAGTATTTTTTCATTCTAATGTAACCATCCTCCATAATGTGTGCTTGCAGAGAAAATCCAGACACTGTGAAGGCACTCTTCGGTATTGAACTTGAAAGCAGGTATTTTTTGCTATTAGTTTTTGTATTATAAACATGTGTGTACATTGAGTGGTTAGATTTATTTCAATATTATGGAATTTCATATGAGTTGGTTTCTTTTTATCCAAGTAGTTGCGTTTGTTAAGAATATCTGTGGTTACACTGCATTGTCTAATTAGTTCCTTTGCACACACACATGCACACACAAATGTATTTTTGCATGTCAAGTTCACACACTGCTCCATTTTTTGGATTAGTACTTTTTCATTCTAATGTAACCATCCTCCATAATGTGTGCTTGCAGAGAAAATCCAGACACTGTGAAGGCACTCTTCGGTATTGAACTTGAAAGCAGGTATTTTTTGCTATTAGTTTTTGTATTATAAACATGTGTGTACATTGAGTGGTTAGATTTATTTCAATATTATGGAATTTCATATGAGTTGGTCTTATTTGATGCTTAACAAGTTGTGTTGTTGTGTAGGATTTATTGCATTGATATCATAAATAAGACGATTTATTATTTGTTGTGTGATTTTTTGGTAAGTGGTCATTTATCATGTTTGCATCCTATCCTCATACACTTATTGAAGGCTCATGTCTCATTGATGCAGTTGCCAGAGAAAAGAGAATTTTTTATTTTTATTTTCTTTTATTTTTTTTACATTTATCTGTCTTTGAGATCTTCTGTTTTTTGTAGTTATCGATGGCTTTAGGGAGGAAACATATAAGAGCATCTCCAAGGGGCTCTTTAAAAGAGGCTTGTTGGTTATTATAACTAGGATCATCATTTTTTACTTCCTCTAATGGACTAGCTAGTACAATAGTTATTTTAACAAAATTCTTTTAGGCTAGCTACATTTGAAGAGCATTGAGAGGCTCTTTAAGCAGTTTGAGGATGCATAGGTAAAATAAAGAGTAGGTTTGGAGTACATAAATGAAAAAGAATTAGGTGAAATAAAGAATATACCTTTTTTATATGGTTGGAGTTTCTCTAAGTCTCAGCAAACTCTTCAAAGTGCATGGGCCAAATTGACTTGAACACCCAAAGAGGAACAGCTGCAGTATAAACAAATTCAATATTGGAAGTACTTGTTGCTGGTCTGTCTTATTAGATACTCATACCTTGTAAGGTTCTGTTTACCATACGGAGTTAGATTTTGTTACTACGCTTATCATATCTATTGGATGAGTGATGCTCTTTATTTTTTACAATAGATCTGTCAATTCAGTTATTAATTGTAATTCTCAGAAGTATTTGGAAAGGAAAATGTCATCTTGAAAATTGCATTTCTCATTACATTTAGAGAACCTAATACAAGTCATTTCACTAATTTCACTGACAGATTAATTACCTTTCTACCGCTGATTGATCATTGAATTTCATAGTGGGAATTCTTAGCAATGAGAATTAATTTCTTGAGGTTTTACCTGCTATAAATTTGTTTATGAGTGTAAACAAAATTTGTGAGTGGCGAATAGGTTGATCACACTATTCATAAAATTCAAAAGTACCACATCCTATTTCTTACAATCAAGTGAATATGGTTTATGCTAATAGAGAGAGCTTAAATCATTTTTTCCTATTCATCTTTGTCGGAAAGCTAATATGGTGGTTTTATCAGTTTGTATTGCAATCTAAATATTTACTTGCCTGGTATTCAGCTATGCTGTTGGTGAGGTATTAGTTTGTGTCTTGTGCCTTTTGCCTTTTGCTGCCTTTATGGTACAAAAGTGGCTCTTTAAATCTTCCTGGTTTTTTATTTTTATTGCGACGAAATAGCCTGAAAAACAACTGCTTCTTTTGGATATTTATTTCTTGGTGTTGATGTGAGTCTAGGGTGCATTGTGAAGAAAGTGGTGAAGAAAGCTTAGAGATGGAATCCGTTTATGCACTAAAGTGTCACATATCACATGAGGTGAACCATTTACATGAGGGGCTAAAGCATGTAAGTGCTATTGCAGAACTGACAGTACTTTATTATTATTATTATTATTATTATTATTATTATTATTACTTTTTCCTTTTTTCGCGAACCCTTGGATTCTATGTTGTTCTTGACTTGAGTAGCTTTTGCTACTTGTGTATGAGTTTGTGATATGATGCTTGTGAGGTGGACTCCCCCCTCTCCATCTTCAAGATGACCTTTTCCATAGGAATCTTAATAAACACAGTATATAATTTAAGATTTTTTCTCCAATTTAAGGTTTCTTGGCAACATTATTGTTAGGCTATCAAAAATAATTGCATAAAGGGTAACATATAAAAGGAAAACATCTTTGCCATTCATGCAAGTTTTATGTGGAAGTATATATAAATTTTTACCAATGAAACATGGATATGGATACGATACAATATGGATACAGAGATACGACAAAATTGAAAATATAGGATACAGGTACGACTAGGATATGTTGAAGAAAATTATAATTTTTAGTAAGGAAAATTAGGGATACATCCTTCTATAGGTTTTAGTTAAAGTTCTAATCCACTAAAAGTTTACTTGTTAGTTGAGATCCTTGAGATTTCGAACTTTAGAAGCATAAGGAATTTTTTGACATAAATGTTAAAAAAATAACCTTTGGAATGTAAAACCCTTATTACGTTTTCTTTCCCAAATCTCTTTGTTTTTTTTTTTCCTCTCTACTCTCTACAATGACATCTCTCAACTGCCATCCAAGTTGTCATTGAAACCATCATTGTCACCATCGATTTCAGTCTCCACCAATCTCCGAACTCCAATTTCTCTACCTCTACTAAGCTTCCGTTGCTCTCATCTTTTGCCATTTGCATTTCCATCATGATTTTGAGCCTCATTGGTCTAGATCTAGACTATTGTTTGTTGTTCGTTGCTCATATACATAACATATGTATATAAATATATGTTATATGAAATATTTTGATCCTTTGTAGTGAAAGACATTGCCACGAATGACTATTTTTTTTTTTTTTTTTGGTATCTATTTCTCTCTGTCTTTGTCTCTTGATTTGGTTGATGGAAAAAGCAAAATCTATAGAGGTAACTGAAAATTTCGATAAAAACACCGTCACAGTGAAATTTCTGCTCAGAAATTTCTCACAGTTTGCAATTTTAGTATGAAAATTTGAAGCGTCACTGTTTTGAAGTCCGTAAAATTTCACTGTTCAGAGGAAATTTCACTGGTTGTGATGGAGAGTTTAGTTTTCTTGATACGCATGTATTGGATTTCTATTGTTGCTGTAAAGGTATCACATGAATTGACATTTCAGGAGTTGGTTGATATTTTGTGTGGGAAGTGGAAAAACTTGAAATCTAGACTCATTTCCCTTTCATATTGGCCCTGTTTGTTAGAGTTTTTTTTAAGCTAAAAGCTGATAATCAGAAAGCAAAAGTTAATAGTATCCCTCCCCCAGCTTCTAAATAATCATCTTGTTTTTGCTTATTTAAGTTATTTCTGCCTAATAAGCTATAAGCATCAATTAATTTGGCACGGACTTCCAAAATAAAATAAGCTATAATTAGCTTATGGGAGCTGCAACAAACAGCCGCATTATGTTCCTGGTTATGCAAATTGTACTCTTCAAAGTGAAAGTGATTTTCAGTACATGTTGAGTTTTGTGTGGGCACTTGGTGTAGATGTTGCTGTTGCTGGAGAAAGGATGGATTGTTACAATTTTGTGGTTGAGTCTAGTTGTTCATGTGAATGTTGAGAGGAATTTATATAAGTTCTGTGTGAATGAAGAAAAGGTATTGTTGAGTTCCACTTGGGCAAACAATATTAAACAAGTGGGTCAAGTGTTTGAAGGTGGTGCAGTTCAGTTTCGTAATGCTTTGTGCAAGTATACAATTGAACAACGCTTTGAGTTCAATTATGTTAAAAATGAATAGACAAGGGTAACAGTAGAATGTCAAAAGTGTTCATTGAAATTTGAATAAAAATTCAACGTATTTATTGAATTCAGTATATTTTTTTTAACTAGCTTGATTGACATATCATTTTTGTATAATGTATCTAAGAGAAGTTCAGAGTAGTGCTTTGGTTAATTGTGAGTTTCATAATTTCAATTACATAGGTCAATGAAATTTTATTGAAGGAGGTCAGTGATTTTTCACTGACCCAGGTAATGCTTCTTATAGTAATTTCTCTGTTTGGGACAGTGAAGTTTTCATGTGAAGTCTTAATTATATTATTTTGACAATATGAAGAGTACAACTTGCATAACCAGGAACTGAATATAGACACGCACATTTAAAATTCAATGGCACAAGAACTATTTTTCTTTCATTTAATTTTCAAAAAGAATTCCCAAAGTACATACACATTTATAATTACTTTTTTATTCGAACTACAAAATTTGTCGTTTGTTTTCTTGTGCATTTCCTTTGTCTTCTTATGGTTTTCCTTTATATTGTTGTGGTTCTTCCTTTGGTATCTCCACTGGTTCTATCCACGATCTCCTCAGGTCAGTTGTGAATCTTTCTATCAGTTTTGCTCATATCACTCTCGCTTCATTAATTGTCAATTTTGGCTTTATTGCTTGTCTTTCAGCATTTTGTCTCATCATGTAGCAGACAAAGACACCACAATCCACATTGTATATATGTATTAAAGTAATACTTAGTTTTTGTTTATCATTAAATTTTGTTTGATAAAAAGTTCTGTGGAACTTACGATTCACTTTCTTGTTGTGGAGTGTCATTAACAGATACAATTGGAAAACTATAGTTCTGAGATTTCAACAAGTTAAATGTTGGTTGTGATGATGTTTCCCTTTCTTTCTCCTGACATTGTTTCAAGAAACTCTCTATGTAATCTTTTTGTAGAAACAAAACAAATGAAATTACATTAGTGTATAAATTACATTAGTGAGTGAAATTTCACTGCCGCACACAGTGAATTGAAACATATTTTTATAGTGGAAATTTAATTGAGATTGGTTAGTGAAATTTCACCGCCATAGTCAATGAAATTTTACATTTAGGTTAGTATTTGTCCTTTCAATCAGTCCTTGTTGGTCTGAATGAGTTGTAATGCCTCCACATTCCCTCAGTTGTGTCCAAAACCAACAATGTCCAGTGATTAGGTTCATTTGAGTGTTTGTTTCCAATGCTGTTTATTGGAAATTGAAGGATTTGTAGTTCTTTGTTGCGTCTTCAATGTGCTTGTCCAGCATTGATATTTGAAAAGATTCATTCTTCATTTTGATGTATTTCTGCTAGTGAATGACATTCATGAAGATTCAATTATGTTTGTATACAAGTTCTTGTTAATCAATTCTATAATGATATTTAAATACGAATAATGAAATTTAAATAACTTACCCAACCCAAGCTTGTGAAAAAATATGATTTGTTTTCTGTATGATCTTTCTTATTTTTGAATTTGGTGGGGAAAGTTTTTCTCTTCTTCTTTGATTTGTGAATAGTTTCTCATCATAGGCATCAAGTACATGAACATGTAATGTATAATGATGGTTTAAATTATCATTGATATTATTTCTTTGGGTTGATAATTTTGTTAGAGAGATTATGTGAAATTTATTGGCAGACTTGCATTGTTTGATAATTCTTTCTCCTTTATCAATCTGGAGATATCTTCAAAGCTTATAATATTTTGCTCACTTGTCCAGTCAGAGCCCTGCAAGATGAAATAAAGTGAGAAATAGTTTTGTTAATTTACATTTTGTAATTGAAATCCTTCAATTTTTTACATTCCTTTGTCCTGACACATTTGGTATGTGTTGCAAGATGTCCCTTGTGATATCTTTGATGTGTTTTGGAACTAGTAAGCTGGACAAGTGAGACTGTCACAATTAGAAGATATATGGCTAAGCATTTACAAGTAATCCTTGAAGTGCGGAAATACCAAGAGCTCCCTAATCAATGCATCATTTGATTGTCAGGTTCAAGTAAATTCTCATAAAGCCGAGGAATTTCTTGGAGCTGGACATACTTTTAGGTTACAGCTCCATAAAATGACAAAGAGAAACAGATGCCTTTAAATAATTTTCTCTTCACTGGAAACTTCTTAGTGGGTCAACAAGATTACACTCCAATTAATTTTGCAAAAAATGATTGCATGATCAACCCAGACATGATATAAATGGCAAGTCTATAAAATAAAATAAAATAAAAATGTCTGTTAACACTGTTTGAGCTACAGTGAATAAATAAAGAAAACTTAATTGGATTAGCGCCTTTGTCAATTGTAATAAGAGAATATGACAAATTATTTCTCTAATGGAATCATGAGCTCCATTGAGGGGTACCCCCCCTGCTTCTTCTTCTTCTTTCTTTGGTTAGTATCTCCAGCATTTCAGATTCTCCATCCAAATAAAGTAAACAAACCTGTAAAAACCTCGTCAATTAATTTTAGGCACTATACTTTTGAACAATATAACATCTAACAAGGTGTGAAACTTGTTTCTTTCTGTAAATTCTTAACAAGGGTATTGATATTTTCTAATGACATTCTTATGGATGAAAGTTTGGCCCTCAATCCTGCAGTAGTGAATTCACTTGACAATGTACTCATCATACGTACTGATTTACTCCACGCAGGGTCTGAAATCAGAATTAGAAAAAGCTTCTCCTTCTTTGGGACGCAGTGCAATTTACTTAAAAGATTCACGTATCAATGGCTTGCCTAGGTAAAAACTGGCTTTAACTATTTTCACTTGTGCGCAAGCCACAGGCATTATATCCACAGGATCCAACCATATTGCGTGAATTTAGGATCCCACCATATGCATGGTTTTTTCAGGTACTTGACTTCTTTATTTTTTATTTTTTTTGGGTAAAATGAGCAGGTACTTGACCATTCAGTTTGTGCGATTTTTCTGGAAGAGGGAATCAAATCAGAAGGCCAAGATTTTGCGGGTAATTTCAGTTTTATATTTTTTGAAAGAGACTGCGGAATGGTTGAAGATGGCATCCAAGCTCCTAGAAGGACAAAAACACTCCTAAAGCAGTGTTTGGTTTGCTAGAATAAGATTGGAATAATCATCATTTAGTAGAATGATCATTCCATTGGAAGACCAA